TTTAGGATTCTCTCTTGTTAGTCATTTAACATTTTACTGGACGAATCGCACTTGCACAATACATGTAGTGTGATTTTAATTATACGTACTAAGTTTATTAATAATCCTAGGACTCAAAAAATCTTACAAATTAATTCGCATCGGGACTACCATACAAATAGAAAACAAACACTAGATATGTGATTTTTTTAAACTGTTTGTTTAGTAATGTAAAATATTAAGTAAATGTATTTTGGTTTACTGCCAAACAGAAGACCACTGTGACGTTTTCTACTCACGGTTAGATTCAGGAAAGACGACGAAAGTGCCGTTGATCACATAGCAGAAATGTGCATAAACATGTGGGAATTATTTTTCAATCGTTTGTGTGGTCACACTATTTTAATGAAGGTTCTTTTTTTCTCGTTTAACAATTTAAAAGCTGAAGATTTTAAGTTTCTGAAAATTATGTTGATTATCATTAAAGTTTATCTGCTATTAATATTATATTTGAACGTTATTTATATATAACTTTTAAATGTAAAATATACATACTTACTATAGGTTATTTATATTAATCATAGTGATAATAATATCAATAGATGTTAGACATTTATCTTCAGAATATCTGCTACACATTTAATCTCGAACTCAAAACCGATGTTTGGTAAATTTGTTTTACTTTCATTTTTTTCCTTTTTCCGCCGCGAAGCTCCACAATGGGCGATCTGCGCTCTATCCATCACGGGAAATTAGACCCCGAATGTTAGTGTTGTAAGTGCAAACTTCCCGCTAACCAAACGAGAGACTTTAATAAATAAACTAAAAACAATATAAAGAGTCTGAGTGCTCGCGCTTGTATAAAATTAGAGATCAAATAAATAAACGAAATACAATGTTTATCGGTACTCAATTAAAACGCCCCCCAGTGGCACAGCTGGATGTCTGTGGACTTTAGAACGCTAGAAACTGGGTTTCGATGCTTGTGGTGAGCACAGTATAGATAACCCATTGTGTAGCTTTGTGCTTAACCACAAACAAAAACAATTAAAACATTTTTATGGAAGCCGTCAATGGGCTCCATTTAAAAACTACTCGATTTAAAGCATAATGCACACACACACACACAACAAAAACACTCCACTTTTGAATAAGATTTTATTACCGAAAAGCCAGTTTCCTACAGCGTCTTTTCAACCCAATATACATAGTACTAACAAATAGTTGCCTATAACACCGCATTCAAACAAAACTTTATGTACAACAGTATGCATAAGACGTGAGTAGGCAATATAATATGGTAAACGGTAAATTTTTGTGAACAAAAAAAATGGCTTCATCCAACAGTAATAAAAGGGATTACTCTACTGAAAGAAGCATTATACATCGATCTACGTATACATATAAAGGTATATCACACTCAAACTTTAATTTACTTATTGTTTTTCAGAGACAGAAATAAACTTCGCGATAATGCCACTGTTAATCAGTAAGGATTAAACTGTTATTTAATATAAATACAACAATTTCAAAACAGTATAACTGGTTTCTTTAAACTATGCAGCTTGTCACACCTAATCTCAGTTTGTTGTGTGAAAATCTATTTATCCATATAGAAAAACACAACTAATAAATATGATCTAGAACAACCAAGATCAAAGTTTCTATCTTCAAATATGCATATTTCATTAAGTCATCAAATGCCTTACTTTCTTCCTATCTTTTTAGGTTGTGATCATTCTAATATATTACAATGGTTTATTTTATCACACTTTACTTTAGTTCATTGCTGTTATTTATCATTGTTCACACGGCTTGAAACAAAGCAATTGATAGGATTGAGTGACTTGCAAGATTCTCAATTTACAACTACTAAAGATGAATAAATGACAAACGTTATTTATGTTCTTCTATAGTAAATATTAAGAGTACAATTAGCTTGTGTCTAACATTACAACTGACAAGAGTAACAACATATACCTTGAAAGTCATTTCAAAAATGACAAAATTTAATGTACAAATGTTTTGATGTGATGATTAATTTTTTCAAACATGGATAAGTGTGAAATATCAGAAACACACACACACATATATATATAACACGTTTTTTGGAATTAATTACCAGTAGCCATTTTGTTAATCAATAAATTAGCTTCAAAGGCATTATTACATGGAATATACACCTAACATATCATTCTATGATGGTATTAAAAGGAAGACAGAAAAATATCAAAATATAGGGATGGTATTTCTGTCTTTAGCAATTACAAGTCTAAAATATTGCCAATAATCACATCAATTACTTTCTTTTGGAATATTCACCTTATTTTTTAACTGGCAATAAAAGATGTCTTCCATTTATTTCATTCTTTGTCACCAAAGAGAAGATTTTGCTACAAAGTACTACTTAGTGTGCTTTCAACAAAAGAAAGGAATGATTAATGGAATGTGCATGACTGGGACATGATACCAAAAATACAATTATTTTCTTTAGAAAAAGATAAAAATGTATACACAATATAATCTCTGAATCGTTATTCCACACATACCTAGTTTAAAAGATAAGCTTTCTAATTATGGTGGCATGTAAGAATGTATTTTTATTATAACAGAACTACATGTTTCTGTAAATGGTTTTTAGAAGTAACATCCAAATCAACAGCTAGTGTGAGTACCAGTAAATTTAGATGGAATTTTTAAGTTGTAAAAGCACAGAAATTACTAGGTGTTCAGGATCAAATTTATATCATATTTTAAAAGATACAAATAGTAAAAATAAACATAGATGCTAATATGGGTTAGTTTTTCAAACGTTCTGAGTTTGTAACTAAAAGTCTGAGTAATAAAATGATTTCTAATGAGCCTTTAAATTAAATATTGAGTATTTGTTTGTTTGAGAATTTTGAAAAAATTTACACAAGGGATATCTGTGCATAACTATCCATAATTCTGAAATGATAAGCTAGAGGGAAGGCACACAATTTAAACTCTTTTTCTGACTGAATAGCCAGGGTGTGAAATTGTGGATTTTTTTTGAATTAATAAAATGATAGAAAAATTTACTTGTCTTTCTTAAAAACATATCAACTCTCCATTTCACAAGATACATAAAAATGTAGAATGTAAATTTTAGGAATCTGCTGTTACTTAACAGTGAAAAAAAAAAAGTTCTGATATTCTGAGAAAGCTAAATAAAATGCATCAATGACCCAATTGTTTGCATAATCTTTATAAATTTAAATCTATAATGTTCAGTTATCATATCTACATTAAATGCATTATTTACTTTGTAGACGTGACACAAAAGTACTGTAAATAGACAGTTTTTTTTTAAAGTTAGTAAAATGACAAAAGTAAATATGTTGTTAAAAAGTATTTGATTAATAAGATGTGGAACACTCACACATGGCTTTTTTTGTTATATTCTTTGTCTGTTTTTAGAATTGGATGTATGTGACAATTAATAATCACATTTGAATTATATATTTCATTTGTAAGTAATGAAGAACTTTGACACAAAACACTGTATATCCAATTTTGCCAATTTGAGAAAATAAGCATTTACAATAAATGCTATAAAATTAAAACTGAGCTATTTACTGAATAACACAATTACAATTATATGAAAAACTAAAAAAAATTAACCTTATTATTTATTTCAAATTTCACAAAATCTACTTGATTTTTGGACAAAACACTGTATATCCATAGGCCTTTTAAGTCAAAATGAGGTACACCTTCAATGATGTATGTCATGGTTTTTAACATTTAGTCGTTAGGATTTTAGGCAAAACATATAAAATATCCCATGATCTGATAAAGAAATCATTGTTAATAGAATTTTATCAGAACAAATGTTATTACCAAACTTTTGAGAAAAATGTCACTTTCAATTGACGTTTTAAATAAAATAACTCATGCTACTGTAAGACTCTTTCCAAATTTATAATCTTTTCAATATTTGCTGTAGGAACACTTTTCTCAGCTGATGGGGAAAGGGTTTAAAAATAAAGAAGAATGATCCTTATCTTTGACAAATAACACTATTATGGCAGAAAAGTTATATCATATGAAGTTTACATTCCAAAACTAAGGTAAAATTAATTTTACTTCATTTATGTGCACTTCATTCTTAAGTCATTTATCTACAGTTGTTCAACTAATTATTAAGTTTCAACATGGAAACATGTCTTGAAAGGCTCTGTATTTCTGTAACTTGTCCTCCTAGTCAAATAGCAGGGTTTATGAAGAAGTGTGATGGATGGATGTATTACAAAAACATTAAAAAACTGTACTGTTAACATTTTAATGTCTCAGGAAAGAAACTGAGTAAATGATAATCGTCAAAAAAGATAAAAGCACTAAATATCTAGAAAAATGAAGTCATACCTATACTTACTCATTCTTTCTTGGCTACAACCTGCTTAATTTGCATGAAACTTACAGGATTTAATGCTTTTGAAAACTTGTTTTAAAGAAAACATGTTAGAAAGTTCATGCATCATGGACATGTTCCTTATTATATAAAAGAATATGAAGACTTAAATTAAATTACAAGTACACAGAATTAATTATTCAATTGAATGCTTGGAGAGTTTTCCCGAGCAGATGTTAACATAAAACTATGATAAATAGCAAAATTAAGTAATGGTTTACTTTCATCTCTTTATCTGTTCTTCCTTTCAGTTATAATTGTCATATGAATATCGCTCACCAAATGAAGAGTCTAATTTGTGATTATATGATATATATACATCTAAGGCTAATTACTGTTTCAATAATAATAACAATAATATACACCCGAAAGACAAAAGGTTGTCATTGTTAGTTTTCTAAAAAAGTTAAAGGATTTTACCTAAACAAATTTTAACAATCGTGTTTTGTTTACAAATATACAACTTATCATTGTGTCTTTTTATACACATCTTAAAACTTTATTCATAGTAGTATATTTTTAATAGGAGAAATAAATTAAAATTTATAAGACAACTAATATTTTATTATAAAAAGTTTTACGGTAAGTATCTTAAAAATGATTTACATTAAAAGCAGTAAATTTCAGTAGTAAATATGTATTTCTGAAAGGATTATTAAAAGCAACAACTTAAAAAAAACATTAAAATTTCATCAAAACGAATTGATAAATTTTTTATGAGTTGCTGTATTTTTCTATACATTTTGTCTTTTAAAACAATCTTGAAAAAAAGGAGTAATCACAATGATTTAAATAAATTAAGTTTCTAGTAGCATAACTAAAGCAAGATGTAGGTACTTTCAACACCAATGCCATCTGCGAACAATTATAACACAAGTATACTGAACACATTTTCAATCACATGCTACTCATTATTAAAATATAATTCTCAAATTTCCTTATGAAATTACTACTAAATAATATTAATGAACAGGTAACAAGATTGGATCCAGTGGAGAGGAGTCTATGCATCTGGACCTCATCTCTTTCAACATAAAAAATAAAACAGAAGGAAACAGAGATGCAAGTGGTATAAATATACAATTTAATTGTTTCCTGGGATCAGTTATGCTTGTATTCTTGTATGGAAAAAAGTTTTTACGATCTGTAATATATAAAATGTTGAAGATATTCATAAAGGATTTTCTCTTCAAAAATATTATGATTGATTTAAAACCCACCACAGGTCTTCAAAAGAATAATTTTAATTGGTATGACTGTCAAAAAAAGATGTTCTCAATGGTCATTCAGATTTCTTATTGCTAATTCTCCAATGGAAGAGACCAATAAAAACCAATGGAAATGTCAAGTATTTGACTTAGAAAGACTTTCAAAGATTTTCTGATATTCATTCAATTTGAACCCCCCCCCCCCCCAAAAAAAATCCTGGATACACACCTGAGGTACATTAGGTACATAAATATATATATAATTCAACTTCAGAGTAGAATATTTCCAAGTTAAATGTTACTTCTAACTTATACAAGAATAATAAGATACATTCTGGAAGTTGAAGTTTAAACATTTATTTCTTTTAATGCAGCTGTGTATCAAATAATGAAAGCAGAAACAATGTAAATATTGGACACAATAAACAGAACCATCAACAACACGCAACAACAGCATAATCTCTTGAAACTTATTATTAAAATTAATAATACTTCACAATACTAAACACCTGATAATTCAGTAACAAAATTTAGAATAATGAGCAGCTGTAACTCTTGAAAACAAATTATTCTAAAAGGTAAGATAATATCTCCCTTAGTTTACCAAATATACAAGCTTTTATTGTAACTTAGATATTACTGTTCTCATCTTTAGATTTAAGTTTTGAAGAAGTATACTTTTATAGTAACTATTCAATTAAAAATAATACATTACATCCTGTGTTATTTTTTTTGTTTCCTACTTCTAGCTTTCGAAAGACCATGATTTAGTATTTGTAATAAGTTTCCCGAGGTATCCCAAATATGTAATGTAACTTTTTAAAATTTGCCTACATTATAGCTGGACATCATAAAAATCCAAGATTGTTTTATAACAATACCATATGCCTGTAAATATATTGTGGTGTAAAAATAATGAAAGTACAACCATAATACAAACATTTTAAATTCTAAAAGTATATACTATAGGATGTGACATGGGTTTGACTAGTTATCTAGTCTGTAGTTAATGGAAACTGCATTACAAATCTGGTGAAAACAAGAAAAAAAACCACAAATGGTTAAGCAAATGTAATTAAAATACTTTACTTAGGCAGTACAGAAGTTGACATTGTTATGAGCTCATTTTATGTTTATGCCACTGATATTAAAGCCATAAACCTACCCATGTGATGGAACAAATTACAAACATTTTCAATGCTTCGTATTCCTCAGCATATCACACTTATCTATATAAAAACCAATGACCCCGAAGACATATAAAAAACTTAAAAAGAGCATCAAGAGATTTCCCATAATATCTCTAACAATCAAAATTTTCCTGATATTTGCATCTGTTCTCTATTCAATGTTACAAGCCTACAATAATATATACAGTCAAACCAAAATTATTTGAGTTATTGGTAAACACCATACGCTATAATCTACACTGTTATGTAAATATTGTTTTGATCTATCATCTATCCAGTCTGATTTTTATAATACAATAAGGCTTGACAACTTTCAATTAAAGGTGATTTAACAAGATAGTGTTTGGGAATGTTAATGACATATCTGAAATTCCATGTGGGAACCTTGAAAACTTAAACTAGTGAGAAATAAAAGTATCACAATAAAATAGGCTGGATAGGTTTGCTCAAAAAATGGACACGCGTGGCTGGCCATAAGTGTTACAGTAGATGTAAATATTTACAAAACAAGCAAATATACTTTGTGAGGCACAAGAACAAACAATTAATGAATTATACACACAACCAGGTATGATTTCAAACATAATCTATACGTATAAAGTTAACAAGTTGCCAAAAGGCACCTGCATCACTTTACAACATTCATTAAAACAATGAAATAAATTTACACTCATTTGTGCATCAGGATTATAATTATACGAAAAATAAACTTTTTACAACATTCACTGACACACTTTAATTCATATAATATATACTTCTCTTAACTTATACAAAAACTGTTAAAAGCCTTCAATATCATACATTGTAACTATGATAACACACTCAAACTTTAGGATTGTGAATCATAAAAGCCTCCTGATCTACCCCTACTACGGGTTATTACTTGTACTGTCACAAACAAGAAATAATTTATGCAGTGTCAAATATACCACAATTAAAAACTCAGTGGTCTGTAGTATGTCCAAGTACACCACTGCTGCCATGGAAGGAAAACTGCTGGAAGTAAGGCTGTTCCATTTCTTCAGATATGGAGTTTAGAGGAGCTTGATCTGGAGGGGTCAGCTCTACTGTTTCTCCAGTAAATTCTTGGTCAAAGTATCGAGTATCAGTATCTGATGTCACCTGAGGCTTGAAGGGTGGTGTAACCTGATCACATACAAAATATGATAAGGACATTATTATAAAAATTAGAAATAATAATTATTAGAATGTACATGTAAATGCATGCTAAATATAATAATTCTTAAATCACAAAAAAGTCTTTATAGATAAACTACTGGTGTTCCAAAAAAAGCAGAAGCATTAAAAAAAGTCAATGTTGACCCCTAATGTTCTACTGATTTGTCATTTTATGGCCAGGTACTTTATTAGTTGATACTTAAAAATTTTATGACAAACCAAACATATTACATCTGTTACCATGTTGCCTATTCTTGCTGTACAGTATCATATTTGCAAATTTTACATATGATTAGTCATTTATTGCAATAAACATTTCATAAGTAGATGTTATTTGCAAAATATATATTGTATTTATTATGTACTAGAAAACTGATAAGTGTCTTTTTTAACTTTTTTTTCCATGAAAATGGACATTACACATATTATACAGTTACATAATTGTAAACTAATATGTTTAATGCCATAATGATGATGAAAAATTATTGTTGAGATGGTGCTATGGTGAATATCTATACACATAAGAGTTTATTATAATACATCTAAAACACCCCTAAAAGGATTTTATCATTAAAGCATTATTTAATTAAACTGAAATCAAAAGATTCTGTAAATTTGCCAATATATACCAAATATGACAGTATCAAATGTGTCTTTAGTAAGAGATTTTTAAAATTAATGTATAATAAGACTTGCATGGTATTATTTAATTATCCTGTTATCCACTTTTATGTAAAAATGGTTGTTATTTTAGTTTTTTTTATTTATGATTCAAGTTACTTTACATATGTAATACATTTTCTGTCTTCAAGATTTGGTCTAGTGAAACTCATTAATTTACATATACTGATAGCACTTCTTATAACTTTACAAATGTGTTTGTTCATATTGATGAAAATTCTAAGCATAGGCTTTTTTCATACAGTAATACAGTTACAAAAGACTGTAAAAACAAGTAATATGCCATTTTCCAAAATAGTTTATGTAAATAGTAGTAAAATTAATTAGAAGCTAAAATAATTCTTAAATATACTATTTAGATAAAAAGCAAGCAAATTAAATATATCTTGAATATTAATCCTAGTGGATATTCATATATACTGATATCTTTGAAATAGGGGTGTTTAGAATTATAAGAAACAAAATTAGATCATGCACTGACCTTTTTTTCCAGCAAATCCTGCCAGTTAATTGCACGGAAAAATGGATGGACCATAATCTCTCCAGCATCGTCCTGCCCGCCACCAAGTCTACAAAATAAAGTCATTATGATACAACAAAAGTTTTAGAAATGTTTAAACAAGTCAAATTTCACTGTATTTATACTACTACTTAGGTAAAAGATCTTTTTTTTTTAATCATTATTATTCTAAATGTTCAATTAGGAAAATTAGCCTTTATTGAGAAATGACACTGCAGATCAAACAATGCAAATGATAAAATAGTTTATATTCATCATAAAATACTATTGGTCATAATTTCCTGTGGAATTTTTTAAATTTATTTTTTAAAATAATGAGATGTATTAAATAACCTTAACAAAGCAACCATAGAAATTGTACCATAGAACCATGTAAATTATAAATTTATATACAAGTTAATTAATTGATAAAGATTTTATTAATTTCTTTGTTCTTTCACATAATTATACAATAACATTATCTTAACATCTTTTTTAACAATATTAATTATTATTTTTTCTAAATATTTCATTGTATTTTTATCAGCAGCATAATTTTTTGATTTTCTATGCACATATTCCCATATTTCATAGTTAAACTTCTCAAATTAAGACTTTTTTGTTAATTAAAGCCAAGTTAATCTTCAGTATAAAGCAGTTTTTTGCTCCTTCTAATGTTCTTTGTTTATCAAAAAACAGGTTTTTACAATAGCAGTACTTTTTGACTTCTATATATATATATGCTAGCATTAATTTTCAAGTGTATAGGTTCAATCAATCTAATATTTTAAAGACATTTGTAAAAACTGAACAATTTATGAATATTATTAGAACCTTCCATTTCTGGCATATGATGCTTATCTCTGTAACAGTCAGTGAATCCTGACAGAATTAGGAAATAGCAAGAAAGTAAGTCAAGAAATTCTTATCACATCCTAAATAAATAATTCTTTCCTCAGTCTTGCATCCATTCCTTTCAAAGTTTTTGCCCATATTAAAAAAAACAAAAAACACAACCAGTTTTTCACATCCGCTATTTTCTGAACATAATGTACATGTGATTGATGTAGTTTTCTACATGAAAGTTAAGTAGTAGTAGGGAAAGCTATTCACAGGCTTACCATCTAAGCTTTACTTCCACCTGGTGGTCAAAAATATAAGTTTCATCAACTAAGTTATTTTTTTTTTGGTTTGCACTCTTGCAAAAAACTTTAGGGCTTCACTAATTTGAAAATAATTTTGCAAACCTGAACACTAACTCAGAACTCTTTACAAAAATTCTAACTTGGAAGTAAATCTTCTAACACGTTTTTTTTAATGCTTTCATTATTAGGCTTCACAAGAAAAAGATCAAGGATATCGCAAAAGTGAGTAAAATCCTAGTTAAATTTTTGGAATTCACAGAGGAAAAATTATAAAATGATTAACTTAAAAAGGAAGTAACAGAGCCATAGCCAGTAATTTTTATACCCTGGGCAAGTTTCATGAACTGCACCCCTCCCCCCTTTTCTCTGTGGCTCATGCATGTTGGTCAGTTGGTTGGTCTGCAGAGGTTCCATGTAGCGTACTTGACTTTAGGTCTTCCTAACCTTTTCACGGCATACATCCTTGCAGAACAAATTTGTTATTCATGGTCGCTCTTCCATCAAAATCAAGTGTTTTCATAACATAGGATAGTTAATAAATATATTTTAAAGATGATTACTAGAACATAAATGAATTACCAAACAAGTCAATGTTTCGCAATAAGTCTCAGCTTTTAGTTTACTTTGTAGCAATGACAGATACAGTAAAAACCTGATTACTCTGTCGAACATGTTCCTGTAATGTTTGGTAGCCAGCAGAATTTTAGGATGTCCCAAACATTGGATATGCTATTTCTCGAGCCCTATTTTTCCTTTACCTAAAAACATATAGATATTACGAAAAAAGCATATAGCTACACGAGATGGTAAATACCACAACATTAGAAAATATAAAAATAATTATGATATATGTTATAACTTAAGAACGAGACGACATAGTTGAAGAATAAGGAGTGAAGGTGGGAACTTAAGTACCATATCATACTAAATAGAGCAACTTATCTTGCTTAATTTGGATGGTAAGTTCTATTTGCCCTCCATTCTATATAGTTCTGCATAAATTATTGAATAACAAATTTAATGCTTGGATTGCACCCCCTTCCGGCTGCACCCTGGGCATCTGCTCCTCCCACCCTACCCTAGTTACGACTCTGGGAAGTAAAATAGCTGTATAGAATTATAAGCTATCTTGAATACTGGCTGACATAAAATCACTTAAGTTATTTTATTGACTGTGGTGTTTCCTGTTCACTAGAATTTAATTGTGGGAAGTGACTTAGATTAGAATAATGCCAGAATACCAACAATGATATATAATGAACTAACGAGAATGGAAGTAGTTATTACTTTGTGATTCAAAAAATATCTAAACTTCAAATGCTATTTTGAAAACTTTTCATACTCACCTAACTCTATTGGTGAAATATTGAAACATATAACAAGAATAATTGTTGATTACTTATAAACTAGTGTAGAATTGTAAAGTTAGGAAAAATAAATTTTCAACATTGTTGAGAAAATATGATATTTTCCTTTGTGAAACAATGCAGGATTTCAACTAAAAAAAAACAAAACAAAGGTTACCTTTTTTTGGGGTCTTTAACAAGAAGACCACTTAGAATACTTTTTGCTTCAGGAGAGAGTGATTTTGGGAACTTAACTTCTTCAACTAAAATCAGTTCAAAGAGAATGTCGTGGTCACGATTGTAAAATGGTAAACGCCCACACATCATCTCGTACATGACAACTCCTAACCCCCACCAATCCACTGCCCTGCCATAATCTGTGTCTTCTAATACCTTAAACACAAAAGATTTGTTTATTTTAATATCTAACATATTGAACTTATATGACAGGTTCAACTTGGAAATTATTTTATATTCAGTCTGTTTCACATCACAGAATTGAAGTACTTACACTTCTAATTAACTTAACTTAGGAAAATGTTCCCAAAACGTCTTTTTACAATAAATCTTCATACCATATGATAGTTTCAAATGTAAGTTTGGAACATGAAAGAAAAAAAAAAGTTTTCATATTAGATTCCAAAATGCTTCATACAAATAAGATGTTACAGTAATATAAGATATGATGAATGTAATTTAATACATATATCTTCTCTGTTCAAAATAGCATAGATGTTAACATGTATTTTAAAAGTATTTTATATGTGTTCAGAAAAGTGATTGGAACAGATGAGTAAATACTTCCTCTGAATAAGGCACTTTTATCAACATCCATATTTGTAAACTAATTATAGACAATGAACAAACTTTCCAATTATGGGCTAATAACAGATCTTATGAAAACTTGCATTTGCTTTCACTCTTTGATTAATTTTAGTGATCCTGTATTCATATTTTGTTCTTGTAAGAGTTGTAACTGATATTACAAAATGTCCTTACACGACTGCCAATAATTCAAAGAAAAGCGTTTTTTAATGCTTCTCTTTTATACCTGAATGTCTCATTAATGATTCTTGAAGTAAAAAATGAATTAATATCAAACACTTTAAAATTTCACAAAAATTGATCTTCTTTCATAGTTTGTGCAAGAATGGCCACATGCTTCAATGTTAACTATGTTGTTCCATAAATAAAAAAAAATTATCATTGTAAAAACATTTTATCATATATTGCGTAACATTCATATATTTGATTGTTATAGATGTATAGTCCTTTACGTACCACTAATAACCTAAAATACTTTAGGTGTTTTGATAATATATGACATACCGTCACAATTAATTATTCTTTATTAAACAGCAGCCCAATTAGTTTTTTCTATTTTGTAACAAATAAATTCATATATATATCATGAAAGAATCTAAACCACAGAAAATCATACAAATCTAATTTTTTATGACAAAATTGTGACTATTAGTTCAAATATTAAAATATATATTTAAAATCTCTTTATTTGGTTACAAGTAAAATGCACTGTCAGTTCATGTATATGTCAGTATATGACAAAATTGTGACTATTAGTTCAAATATTATAACATATATTTACAAATCTCTTTATTCGGTTTCAAGTAAAATGCACTGTCAGTACGTGTATTTCATCACCATGTGAACAATTTAAATACTGCTCCTTCTACAGAACTTTAAAATCTTAAAAGGTTTTAACACTAAGCCATATACCTCAGGTGCTAAATATTCAGGTGTTCCACAAAAGGTTTTAGTTGTTGATCCATATATTATATCCTCTTTACAAAGACCAAAATCCGCTATCTTGATATGTCCTTCTTTATCTAAGAGCAAGTTTTCTAACTAAGATAAAAGAAAATTTAACACTTTTATATGCAATAATAATTACAGTATCGAAGTGGGAAAAGTTGAACTTTAATACATTCTTGTAGTAAACAGTCTAAAAGACTGCCGAGTGGAATCTAAAAAATTATTACCAAAATCACGAGACCCAATACATATATGAAAACTTTAAAATTAATTCTTTCTTGGTTAAAAAACATTGTGGCCCAGTGGTTAGCATTTTGAACTATGAATCTGCAGGGTCTATTATTCACATCACATTACCATAAAAAATATGAAAAATAATAGTGCTCTGCAGTTTGGGTCATAGGTACAACATAAGAGTGACAGACAAGTCCCACTATATGGTCAAATAAAAGTTGGGTCATGGGTACAACATAAGAGTGACAGACAAGTCCCACTATTCGGTCACATAAAAGTAGTTCACGAATTTTTGTAGGTACTGTTGACCAGCTGCCTTTCCTCTAGTCTACAAGTTCAAAATTAGGGGCAATTATCACATATAGCCCGTGAGAAGCTTTGCACAAATATCTAAAAGCATGATGTGTATGGTACAGCTTATTAACATAAAACTTGAGTCAAATAAAACAATCTTTACAGGATGGTTTGTGCATGTTTTTTATCTAATGATGAAATTTATAAAGCTATTTGTAAGAATACAAACAGAATATTTACACAAAATCTACGCAAATAATAAAATTTGTTGTTGTCCAAATTATATATGAAAAATTACCACTAGATCTTAAAGTTAAACAGAAAAGTAACAAATATCTACAATAAGTTTTCTTTTAATGAAATACTTTATTTTAGTACTTGTGTGTGTATGTACATCTTTTCCAAACATCTAGGAACTGTCACTATTTCAAATATTACCACGTGATGACAACATAAATGGGTAACCACAGAATAACTGTGACCCAATACCCATTCTGATTCCATTAATATGTTAAAAGTTTTAAGACTTTGAGAATGAGATATTTTTAAATGGCTTTCAATTCACGTATCAGCTACAATGGATAGGATTTCCTGTCACTATATATACTATTGCTTCATTTAAACATCTTTTTGCATAATGGAGTATAGCATTTGTTATGTCTTTCGAGATATACTGTAAGAATTTTGTTTTGCAAGTTATAACTCTCATAGAAAAAAAAAAGATCAAATTATGTTGTTTTTTAAGTAAGTGTCTTTTATTTTCCAAGAGATACATTAGAAATTATTTCTATTTAACTTGGAAGTAGTAAGAGGAAATAAGCATGAATGATTTAAAATATACAATAGTCTTTTATTTATTTCAGAACTAGTTTTTGATTTATCACAGGATTGGTAAAAATGGCTGTAGAAAATTTAAACAAGTGCCATCTTTTAATCAGCATAAAAAATTTTAATAATACTTTTCTGTGACTTTTTCCAGTCTTTTCTAACTTTTAATATTATAATTAGACAGAAAAAAAGTACTTTTATGGTAATATTCAGCAAATAAATCACGATTTTTGTTTCAATGGTTTGTCATCTTAAGAAGTAATGGATGTATTCTTCAGTTTAAACAAGTTATCTAATGACTTACAGCACCATGGTATGGTATCAAAGTTGCATTCAGTAATGCTCCATGAAATAATTTATTGCCCCCAAGTGGGTCAACAGTATGTCTGCAGATTTACAGTGGTAAAAACTGGGTTTCGATACTTGTGGTTAGCACAGCACAGATAGCCCATTGTGCAGCTTTGTGCTTAACTACAAACAAACAAAACAATTTATTGCTGAAGAGATTAAACAGTTTACATTAAAGATGATTCAGGGAACATCACTAATATCTATGAATTATCTGTAGAATAAAATAGTACGAGTTCAGTAATTTTAAAAATGGATACATTAGAGACATAATTACCTACAAACCAATTACAAGTAAGAGCAACAAACAGATACCTTCAGATCTCTGTATATAATTCCTTGAGTGTGGAGGTAGTGCAAAGCAAGAAGAACTTCAGCACCATAGAAACGAGTTCTTTCTTCAGCAAAAATTCTTTCCCTTGACAGATGAAAAAAGAGCTCACCTCCATTTACGTACTCCATCACTAGGCACAACCGATCAGCTGTCTGGAATGAATATTTGAGAGACTGCAAAAGAAATTGATTAAGCAGTTATCACCACAAAACAATTAAAAAGATGTGAATCATTCAAAAGAAAAAAACAAAAACTGTTATTAGTTTTTTTGCAAATGTCACTGCCATAAAGGAGTTTCAGTTCATAAGTTGTTTTACTTCAAATAGTTTTTAGGCAAAATACAATGCATTGATTCAAAGATTCTATGGACTGTATTTGTCCAGGGTGTAGAAATTGGTGATATTTCAGTCTGTGTAAAAGCCTTCATGAGTGGCCTGATACATACCCCATTACAGCAACTTAAATGTTGACTACTCCCACACTTTCAGCAGGCAGAAACAACTCATAAAACTTTAAATCCAGTATATATGGCATTTCTTCAGAAAAAAAACAAATCCACAGTATATAACATACCTATTTTAACCACTTGTACCACTATATAGTAGTGTGTCATCTGTCAGTAAAACATGCACATGCATTGAATCACGAATAGAATTATGCATTCTGTAGGCTACAACACAGCATAATATATGAAATTCAAAAGCAAGAAATAAATATATTTATTACTCTTAATTTGGGTTGTATTTACTCTAGAAACGAAACACTTTTGGGGTACCTGGAGAAGTACATCAAGTTGTAGTTTGTAATTACCCATTAAAAATGTACTGGTTTATAGTTAGAAACTGTTACATTCTTTCTTTAATGATATTGTTTACTCTGAGAGAAAACCATGCAGCAAGTACAGTTGAAATATATCAATTTGTAACTAAAAAGACAAGTTTTCATGTTACTAGCTTCATATTTTGATATACAAAGATTATTTTGATGCAAAGATCATAAAATTTCTTAAAACTTTTTTAATAAACCTAACCTAATGTTGTGCACTCATGTATACTAAATATTATATGTAAAAAAGCCATAACTTTTTAATTTCTCAGTTTTACATTTAATTATTTTTAACGAAAAAACTTGGTCTAATTAAGAGTTAAATTTCAACAATGAAATTGGCCTAATACGTGAGCCAAGTTTGGTCCTGCTAACTTGCTAATGGGATTCTGAACACAGTTTCAAAAATGGTGCCTCCATGAATCTAAGGTGAGCAAAAACAGAAACTACTATGCCAGATTCAAGTTCAGTGACCCTGCAAACCTACTCCTGCATCCTCATCATACCTAGGTCTAAATCATAAAGATATCCACCAAGCCACCCCAAAGTCTGTCAGCCATCTCCAAAACTGATGGAGGAGCTTCTGGACAACCAAATTCACAAACACACAAAATAAATTAATGTATGTTGTCAATTTTAAATGTTGAACTGTACCTTTTAATGCAAGAATTATCTGATTTGAATAAATCTGATATACATAAAAACTTGTCATTTCCTAGGGTAAACTTACCCTTTAAAACATTACACACTCAAAATCTGTTTATAGTTAAAAATACCATTTAAACATTTCTTGTACTCTATCAAAACTAGTGCATGTATCAACACTAGGTTTTAACAGTTTAAGATAAGATGTTGATTTTCAAAATGTGGCTATTTTGTATGAAATAAAACAGTAAAGATAACTTAGAAAGATGAAATATCTTAACACTACAAGAGAGTTTACTTACTATGAGAAAAGGATGGTTTGTGTTTCTTAACACCCTATTTTCTGTTAGTGTATGGGCAACTTCATCCTGCAAGAAAGAGGTGATATATATATTTATCTAAAACATACTGTAATACATATGCATATTTTAGAATGCAAATATTACACGCACATAAGAACAAATATCTGTGAACACTTAGCACACATTTTTACTCGTTCATAAAAAAGTATGGCATAACAAAAATCAAAAGTAATTAAATTATAAAACTCTTGTGCACAACATTCCTTTTTTGTAAAAAAAAATACAACTTTTGATCTTTCATTTACTGTATTTCATTTATCCTGTCAACACTTGAACTTGAGAGATGAAATATGGTGAAGAAAGGTCACATTATTGTAATTTTTATTATGCTCATTGTATATTTGATTATCAATAAAACATGATTTCCCTTGTTTTTACAGTAAAAAACTTTATTCACATTTCTGAATCTTGATTCAATTTTATTTTGTATATTTCAGCTACATTAGAACATTGCTGAGAAAAAGGACCCATTATCTAGTGAACAAAAGTTCAGATTTCCTACAATGGAAGTGTGTTTCCAATAGATACTTACCTCTTCTCATGGAATAGATTTTCTCGACTTGTACTGCCCTCTATATGTCTAAAGTTTTGCTTGCCACAAGCTTTCATACTCCCACCTACCCTCATGTGTTTTCACATGAGGCAACTGTATGATAGCATGCAAATGAGCATGTGAGAACCATCCACCAACAGGAGTGCGACACAACTCCCAGCACAGCTGACTCCCTCTATGCAGCTTAGTCCAAAATCACTTTGAGATTGAGTAACATAAATGGAAAAGATACCAGAAGTGGGGAGGACGGGTGTACAGTGTGAGAAGGGGTAAGAACCTATCGGAAATATATTTTCACTGTAGGAAACGTTAACTTCTGATACAATATCTAACCTCTCTTACAGAATAGCTAGAAATAGATTAATGTAAAATAATGTTTCATATTTGTTTATTTCTAACTTCAACAAGGCTACAAAAATAAAAATTCTGAACAGTTCACTGAAAACAGCATATTCTGTTCATCTTAATAAGGTGACAGCTACTATTCTTCTTTAAAAAAATTAACTGTTTTTAAAAGAAAAAATAGTGGTACTGTTGTTATTTGTTTTTAATATTTGTCATACCTTCTGAATAATAACTTCTTTTTTTAGTATCTTAATGGCATAAAGCAAGTTTGAGACTTTCTCTCTACAAAGAATGACTTTACCAAACGTCCCTTTTCCTAGGACTTTTAGGAACTCAAAATTGTTAAGTGTCTGAAACAAAAAAAAATAAAAAATTAGATATATATATATATGTTTTACTTAGTATAGAAATTTGTTAAAATCTCAAAAAGTACTTCAATACAAACATCACAAAAATAATTTTTTATGATGAATTATATTCTTTAGCATTAGAAAGTTAGGAACATAATGAAATACAAAAGCAATTACTAGCATACCAAATATAAATCTTAAAGCCTTTTGTATTTAAAAAGAGTAGAAATTAATAACAAAAAAATGTGATTAGAAAATCAGATTTGTTTGACAACATGTAATCTTTCAAAATTATAACAATATTGGATAATTCTATTTTTACAAATAATATCAAAATGTTCTTCAGTACTGTACTGTAATTCTTTGTACTCCAAACTGTTGATCAAATTTCAGGCTCAACAGCTTCCTACAAATAAATTAAATTATCACCATTTCAGCAGGAACTGGTCCATCAAATCTTAATTTTACTTATGAATTTTAGAGTTTCTCTGGAAAATATTCGGTATTTTGTAGTAATAGATGTAAGATAAAAAATAAATGAGCAAATATTAAAATTCTCCAGCTTTTTAATGTAAATGTGATTGTATATTATGAATAAACAAAGTTACATGCATCAACCTATTAAAGTTTGATTTCTAATATTATGTAGCATTGATAATATTCTTCAATGAAATTTTTGTAAGCTGTAAAATATTAAACTAAAACTCTTATAATATGCTATGTTAAATTTGTTTTACATATGAAACAACAAAGTAAAGATCTATCAACTAGGTGTTTCCTGTTATTTCATGAAATAGAAATTATCTACTGGTTTAAAATAACCATATGCACAGCAGGTCTAGTTGGTGTCACACCCCAGTGGGGGTTTAGGGATTGAGTCCCATAAAAAAAGGAAGAGCTCTTCAGATGCCCAAAGATTATAGAGAAAGCCATTTGTTTTCTAACTGTTGAAAATGATTATTTCCTAATTTTTTATGTTTTTAGTTTTTACTTGATTTTGGCTTGAAATATGTTTCTAAAAATAAAAGAAAACTTAGACATGTGTGTAAAGGGTGCAGTACCCTTGGATTATTTTAAATAAATGCTGTGAATGTAATAGTTCAAATGTTGTTTTCAGGAGAAATACACTGTGATTTACCCCAATCCTTTTGTGACAATTTCTTAAACTAGAAAACTAATTTTCTCCTAAAATATGCTACAATACGTCCTAAAAAAACCCAAACTTTGTATCAAGAATTTTAATTTTAATTATTATATTTAAACATTAAAAGTGAGAATTTACTTAGTTTTTCTCTTAAAGTTTATCAGCCCTAATGACTTCTGTTTCAAGATCTAATAAAGATTTTACAATGTTAAATAAATAGTATTGTTCAATCATTATTTAGAAAACTATGGGTCTTGTATTAAGCCTTAACAAATTTATCTGTTTAATAGCTATTTATATCACAACTTTTGTTTACTTGCATAATTTGAGCAAGTCATTGTGATATTATTTTTTGTACTTGATATCAAGAGTATATCAGAACCCCATCTGAACAGAATAAATCAGTGCTGTGCATATATATGCTTAGGATTTTAGTGTATTTAAATTGTTTGTACAATTCTCATACATAAAACATCCCAGACGTATTATCTGTTATTGCTTAACAATAAATAATAAAATAAGCTTTTAATAAATAAACAACTTACAAAGTAGGCCCCTGACACTATCTTCATTAGCATTAACTTATCATCATCACACAAAGTTCTGATAAGATTTCTTAATGAGAATAATCCATTTTCTGAGAATAACTTATTATGACAGTTACTATAAAGCCAACACTGGGCATTCTTTAACCTGTATTACATTGTTTATAAAATATTCACCACTACATTTTCTATCTAATTCTTTATTTAAATAATCATGAAGTTAAATAAAAAAGTCTTTTTCCAGCAGACATTGTATGAATACTTTTTTTTTAATGCTTCTGAAATGTATTCTTTGGCTACTTAAGTTTTGGTGATTTGCATTAGATTCTAAAAAAAAACAAAAAACTTTTCATCTCATGCAAGGTTAAAATATTTAACATGGTTGTAAACAAAATGTATTTGGAAAAAACTAAGAGGTATTGCACACACTACAACAGATATACAACCTGAGTTCATGATATAACTGACAAATTCCAAACAATCTTGATAAGAAGATAATATATATGGACTGTAACAACCTCTTGAAAAACTTAAGAACTCTTTTACAGAATCTACAGTACTGGAAGGAACTGTCGGGTAGTTCTCATAACAAAAGTGTAGAGAGAGAGGCAGTAAAAGAAGACATATTAGATGATTTATTTTACCAATCTTCCAAAGATGAAGATGTAGACCTCAAGGAGAGTATTTTCATGTGTGCAAGAACTCTATTTAACAGGGTTATTAACTCTCTCACTATGAGCTTGGTCCCACGGATCGACCTCGTAATCATTTTGTGCTTGTATAGTTCAAACTATAACTTTTAATACAGTACGAATATCTTCACAAAATTTTGCAGATTATCAGTAAACATTACAAGGCTTTAGTACACAAGATATCAGATATTTTAAGTAATGATTTGCTCATGCATTTTTTTTTCCTTTTGAATGTTGACTATCCAACATGCAAATTAATTTTGATTTTAAGATTAAAAATACTTTTATGCAACAGAAAATTATCAAATTTCACATGCAAAATCTTTATAACCTCCTAATAATCTCCAGATAATTGTCAAAAGTTTTTTTGGAAAAAAAGTATATTTCATCTGTTATTTTCACTATTTTATCTCTGTATGGATTTGATCAATTTGACTGACCTTTGTAATCAACCTAAAAAATTAGGAAATAGATATAAGTTATGTTTTTTGTTCTAGAATGACTACAAAGTATAACAAGAAACCACAAATCTTTAGTCTAAATAGCTTAAATCTCACAACATTACACATCTATATATATATATATTTTTTTTTTATTTCATTGACCTTTCAGCCATGTTTAACTAACATTACAGAAGTTGCAATGACATGGCACATGTGCAGTCATGTTGCTGTATCCAATAGTACAAAACTGGCCTTTAGAAAGGGACCTGTCTTCAGTTTGTTTTGGTGAACCAGTATTTTGTAAAATACAGTCACATTTAGGTTATAATACACTACATATGCATATTTATTATTACTATTTACAAGTAAGTTCTTAAATTTCAGTGATTTTTTCTTAAACATAGAACAGTAAATAAAGAAAACAATGTATTTTTTTCTTATTTACTAAACTTTATACTCCTTTGCCTATTTGCCATAATTTGCTAAGCCTTGTCAAATTTCACATATGGAGGATGTAAAACAAAATAATTTGATTTAGGTTTTCATATATGCATTTCAAAATAACCAAATATTATAAGTTACTCTATCAATATTACAAAATTCCACTGTCATTTATCAGGCTTACTAACTAAACTGCATTTGAATAAAAAAAAATATTGTTTTTTGGACAACAATGTCACTTACAGATGCCTTCGGCAATTCAAGACAAAGAAATAATCTTGGGAGCTTCCCACTTTATAGAGACTGTGAAAGCTACCATAAGGACATTCTGAGCTTTTGACTGGTTATTCACACATCATAGACAGAAGTAGGCATACGTAAACAAGTATTTACAAAAATGGAAAAAGGTGGGTGGGGCCAGATGTATTTGATTCACTAAATGTAGCGATATCTCAACAAAGAGAAAAGACAGGAGGTTCTTATTTTATAATCAAGCTTGTCAATATTGGTAATTTGAGTTTCTAATTCATAAGGTACTAAAGACTTTGTATTTGGACATCACAAACATATAATTTGAACCAAAGCTGTATTCAACATACCACGTGACACACAAAAATTGATAATTAGGAATTTTGTTTTAATATTTAGTTTTAAATTAAGAAATTAACTGATGTATAATAATGAAATTTGAATTATAATCTACTATGTGATACCAGATTTATTGACGTAAATTCATAAAATAGTAAATCAATAAAATTTTGAATGCAAGTCTACAAACGTGATCACATGTCCTTTGACCCCTTACCATAGGAAGACCTGTAGGGAGAGGGTTAAAGAGATTGACTGAGATCTGGCTTCATGTTTCAGGAACTAAGTACAGACCTGGTGGCCAAGAGCTTCATGGAATTATGATGTAGTGTGAACAAGAGGTATGTGTTTCATTAGCTCTGGAGGTTGGTCAATTGAATTCTTTATTGTTCCTCATCAGGAACACAAAGCCTAACTCCTCTATCAAGAATCAATACAAAGGTGTTTAATAACTTTTCAAAAAACATACTATTTTTCTTCCTTTATGGAGTGAGGTTTGTGTTATGTTGAGTTTTTCAAGTATGTCATCATTTCCTTGTGGATCTAACATTTCTACATCTTGTTCCTGGAGTCTATCAGCAACATACTGGATGGCTTGCATCCACTCCTCCCTATAAAAAACCAAATAATAGATGTAATGCATATGATTCACTTACATATAATGCTATGTGAATGAAGTTAGTCAGTAATTAATATCAACTACAAGATTTTTTAAAAGTCTCCTTGCTAGATCTAAAATTAAGCAAGATTTTGTGTACTGAAATTTTATTTTGTAATTGACTAGATATAAGAACTTTTTTGAGTAATAACACTAGTTTGAAAATACATTTTACAGGATAATATATGTAATAATATCAAGTTAAACAGTTCTTTTAATACCTACATATAGCTCTGTAACATAACTTGTGGTCTAAGACAATGTTTTAGTCTATGTTTTTGCAATGTATCATAATTTTTTACTGAATTTAGTTTTGCTCTTATCTTTTGTTTTCTTTATATGATTGATTTTTTTTTCAAAACAAAAATCTTGCTCCAAAACATTTCTCATACATGTTACATAGAAATAGTGTGGTGTTTCTAGACATGCTGCAAAGTTCAGGTTACACTTCATGTAATTCACATAATTACAACTAATACTACACCTTATAAATGCCAATATTAAATGCTATAAACAGGAAAATATGGAATACTTAAATGTTGAGAAAACTGCTCCATTTTGATTTGTATAAACACATTTATAGTGTCATTTTTTTTGTACATAAAACTTATATAACACTTCAATAATTCAGGATAAAAAAAACACTAGTCTCACCTCAAACAAATTTCACTATTTTCACTTGTTGAAGAGGGCTGGAATTAACAATGCTAATTCTATAGAGTCTAATACTAGTTTTAAAGAGCTGTATAATATTATTATGAATAAACACTGCCTATCAAGAAAAATAATTTTGATATTTGTCTTGGCCATGATTCAAAAAAAACACTGAGAACTAGATGAAACTTACCCTCTTGTAGGAATTTAGTGTTATTATGAGACCTTGTATCTGTGCATAGAGAAATATATCCTTACATATTACATGTTTATATTAAGAAGTAGAAATGAGCAACTTTGTACCTTAAAAAAATATCATACCTCTCCTTTTCTGAATCTACATGAAAAGTTCTCTCTATTACCGTTGTCCACTGCAGACCTCGGATTATAAATGTAAAGGGCTTGGGACGATCTGCCTTCATTAGCTGACACCCTACATATAAAGTAATGTTTTACTCTTAAAATCCATTTATACTCTGAATAGTTTGAAATATCAAATATATACATAAAATATGGAGGACAGTTATTTAATTATTCTTTAAAACATATTCATAGTGGGCACCTTTTACCACTTTATACATACAAGTCTTGAAAGGAATAATACTGTTCCAGTTTTTTTAATCTGAATAATATAATGAACCAGATTCCTGATTTTTTAAAAATTATACTATGGTTTTAAAAGATTTGGAGTGCAAAACTTTTAAAATGATTTTAATTCTAAAACAGATTTGAAAAGCATTTTGTATACCAAGAGGTAAGCTATAATGATTACTTAAATTTAGTCCATATTTAAAAGGCTTAAAAAGACTTGGTTGATAATATATATTTTAAAAATCAGATTACATGATTTATATATAAAAGAAATTCACTAGTTCTATATATATTAAAAAGCAAACCCAGTGTAGGTGTAGTTTCACATGGTATTTTTTCACTAGTAAAAGTTTATTAATATCCTTAAAACTATTCTCATTTATTTTACTTTCCTCAACATTTTGCTATTACTATTTCATCAGGAGAACATTATTATTGTTCAATAGAGCTGAAGTTAAATATGATTTGTAATTTTTAATCATGTTCTCTTGCTGTAACTATAATGGTGAAACACAGAGAAAATAAGTTTACTTTATGAAATATAGTTGTGTATACTTGTATAAGTATGTTGAAAAATCTTCAGTATGTGTTACAAACACTCAAGTCTCAAATAAGAGTTTTCATTGTTTCTTTTTTTTTTCAGGTACATCTGTTGTTGTTTTATCTATGTTAATTAATCATCATTAATGAACTATATACTTTAATTTTTGTTTACAATAGCATGCTGTAGACGTTTTTAGCACTAATCAAAGTACAAGCTCTCCTCCCTCCAATTATGAAGAAGTCCTGTCACAACATGTTTATCCATGTGCAGTCCAGACAGTGTGTTAAACTTTTGAGTTTTAATGTTTAAATAAATATTGCAATTTATATTTAGACAACAGAATTATTACTGATATATGAAAGCTCTATAGCCATTATCTCATAAAAGATCATTATATATATATGCAAATAACACTAGAAAACTGATAGCTGCCTACCTCTAACTGTAAAGTTATTGAGTGGATCACTATAACCATGTTCTGGCTTACTTTTGAACCCTATTAGAGATCCATCTTCCAATAAGATGAAGTACCTTGGCCTCCAGTTTTTTATGTGTTCACCTAAAAAATTAACATAACTGTATAAAAAACTACCGCAGAATGCCCAATTTTTCCTAAAAACTTACTATTAAACCCATAAGAGAAATGTACAGGAAACAACAGATATATTTTTTCAATGCATATGGATATAGATATTTTTAAACCTTACAAAGGAAGACAAGAATTTTATCTAAAAAAGGCATTTACTTTTCTAATGAAGGTTAATTACATTTTATTAGGATGATGTTCCAATTCCTATGTTGTCCTTGGAATTACTTCTTTCATCATTAGTCATGCTCAATCTCATAGTCATGATTATGTACTATTGCCCAACTTCACAGTTTCAATTGTGAAAAGCTTCTACAAAAATTGACAAGGTCAATTTCAGACTCTAAATTTTGATAAACTTTTGGCTTGTTCATTATCTTGTTAACAGTAGCATGAGATATGTGAACCTTCATCACAATTGATTCTTTTGGATGAAGTATTATTTTTTGTTCTGTAACCATAGTTTTCATTTTGCTCTATAATGGTGTAGGGTATGATTTAGAGCATTCTAAGTTCCTAACTAATTCTATTATCAACAATACTAGCTTCACACATTTTCTTCTGTTTCCATACAGTCCCTACTGAACTCAATTTTGGCTCAATATGTTGCATGCAGTAGTTTTCACCAGATAAAAATTTCAATTCTACACATTTTTCATGTAGCAATTTCATCCTGGAAGCCATGAATGCATTCACCACACTACTGCTAGGAATAATATGATTGGTTGTACTGACTGGTTGGCCAACAGTCACACACAGTATAACTATCAAATCATGAAAATAAGCTGGTGCATTAATTTTTATACAATAGAAGTAATCCCATAATCTTTGCATTTTATATCCATTTATTCACTTTTTCCATACCTACTTCCTGTACTGTACATACATACATATATATATATATAAAAAACTAGTGTAAGCTTAATACAAATATCTATTCAGTGATGATATCAAATACTTATGTATCTAGTACTGATTAGTGTTAAGTTTACAAAAAAAATAATTTTATGTTATTACATACACATGTAAAACTAGTGTAAGCTTAATACAAATATCTATTCAGTGATGATATCAAATACTTATGTATCTAGTACTGACTAGTGTTAAGTTTACAAAAAATTAATTTTATGTTATCACATACACATGTAAAACTAGTGTAAGATTATTAACATTTTATATTGGGTGGTACTATCACATATATATATATATACTTATACTTGTTATAAGACACTAGTCTTGGTCTTGTTATGTTTTTGATATATTGTTCATTCAATCCTTTAGGATTTTTCAAGAAGAAGTATATAATAATATTTTAACCACCCTGTGTCCACCGTATCCAATACTATTATATATTCTTCTTCTTGAAAAACCCTAAAGAACTGAATAAAAATGTATCATACAAATATAATAGGCTTAATATTAATGTCCTATGACAAGTATAATAATTATTTGCAAGCTTAAAAAATGGGTTCACCATATACTATAAATAGTTATTTGGTGATGTTACTTTACGCATATATATAACAGCTGTAAATAGTGTAAATTTGTTAAATATATTTACTTGATGATGTTGTTACAAATACATGTGGATTTACATTGATAACATTTTTTATTTGTGTATATATATATAAAAAGCGCAAATTCAATATAGATAGATAGATATATGTAAATAACACAAATTTGCAAAAAGTATTCATTTGGTGGTGTTATTCTGTACACATGTAACTAGTGTACATAAATTTATCAAACATACTTATTTGGTTATCAAAAATGTTTTATTTGGTAGTGTTATTACATATGTATCTAACTTGTGTACACTTACAGAAAATATTTACCTTGTGGTGTTATTAAATACACAGTATAATTAACTAGTTAAATAAAAATATTAATTTGAAGGTGTTTATATATAAGAATGCAAATAGTTTAAATTATTAAAAATGTTTATTTGGTGGTATTATTACATATCTATTTGGTCATTTTATTACACTTATATGTAACTAATACTCTTGTGGAACTTTTTATTTAATGATGTTATTACAAACATATGTGTACTAGTGTTAAAGTATTTAAAATATGGCTTATTTTACTTTGTTATTAGATATGTGAAAGTAGTGTTAGTTTATTAAAAATGTTTACTTAGTATGTTTTACATGTATAGGTGATTGGTGTAAGGATAATACAAATGTTTATCTTCACGGTTAAGTTAACTTATTAAGATGTCTTACAGGGAACAATGTTTAATCTAATAGAACTTTTTCTTTCCTGAGGAACATATATATTTGTAACTCAAATTCCAAAACACTTACGATTCCTCTAGCATTTGAAAGTAATTACAATATTTTACACAAGACAACATTAAACATATAATAATAAGGATGCTAGTTTTTTCAAACTGGTTTATCTGTATAATTAGTTATACAAAAACAAACTGAAAAATCAAATTTATTTTGAAAAGAAGTACCCAAGTCCCATACGTTTATCATTTTGCAGTTTCTTTATTAAATAGTCCTTATATTTGGATCTGTTACACTGATAAAAGTACTGGTAAGCATGAATGTACATGCAACAACTTATTACAGTTTGAATATATAACAATAAAATCAACAACTTATTACAGTTTGAATATATAACAATAAAATCAACAACTTATTACAGTTTGAATATATAACAATAAAATCAAATCTTACAAAGTTATTTTAAATACTATGTAAAAACAGGGAGTTTTCTCTTCACTGAACACATTTTTCAAATATAAATGTTGATAAACATATTTTTTAAATGATATAATTTTTATACTCTCTATGGGCAGTTTTAGGCTGTTAGCTAGAATAAGTTTCAGAACCATCCAAGTGTTTGTAGAAAAATATAAATAAACAACAAGACTTTAGACACATCAAGAATAAGTTAAAATTCCTACATGAATAATTAAATCTATGATAACTGACTAATTAAGTCAGCACAGTAAGAATTTTCTGAGGCATTTAAACTTAATACTCGAGTACTATATGTACTTGGCAGTAATTAATTCTAAACACACATTTTTGTCATACACTTTGAAATGTGAATAAATATACCCACGATATCTCATAGGATCTTCATTATGACCCATGATTAAAACATTAGGGCCGTCAAGAGTAAAGTCGATGTGACGCTTTCTTACCTCTCTTTAGAAGCCATCCTTCTTTGACAAGACGCGGTTGTTGAGACGGAGTAACGAGCGGGTCTGGTGCCGAGGCCAGCCCGCTCATCTCCGGTTCGTCCACTCTCTCCACGTTAACAAGTTGAACGGTCAACAAACGAGAAAGCTATTTGACCCCGTGCTGGATACTACTGTCAAATAGCTTAGAAAGTATTTGGTTTTACCCCTCCCCCACGGTCTGGAAAAGACGTATAATAATTATCTTTAACTGCTACGTAAAACTAATATTTTGAAATGTGTAATAATAATTAGTTTCTACCAGTTATATGTATGTATCTCTCGGACTTCGAAGTATAAATTGATCAGAAACGACAGCTATACACAAACAAGTTTAATCTATAACTTGTGTATCTAAGTCAGAAAAACAAAGCATATGTTACGTTTACTGAGATAATTTACGACTTGATAATAAATAAGCTTAACTAATGATTCTGTTACCTTACACAAAGGTTAAAGTTGTTAACTACGACTAAAAACAATAATATATAGTTGTAAATGAGCTATCTATGAACTAATATTTAATTAGTGTTTTAAAATGTTTTATACATAATACTTAGTCAAGAATCCTCGCAATGCTTACATTGTTATAGACTGTAGGTTGGATTTTGAATTCTAAAACACTAGCAGTATTAAAAATAACTAGTATATTTCATTCTGGTCTGTAAATTTTCAATAGTTACACGAGATGTGTACAAAGATGGGATCCACAATGTTGCCTTTGCTTAACTACTACAGAAGCCACACCTTTTGTTCCGCATGTTGTTCTAACACACCGTCATACATACGTCATGACGACGTCAAAACACAAATGACACAATGTACTCGCTCAACAACATAAACATCTTTCTCCCGATATCCTCCGAAGCAAACAGTGGGAAGCTGCAATGGTTCTGCTCGACATGACGTATTATTGTGCAAAAGACAGCTTATCTATTGTAGTTTCAAAACATTCTCATCGATTTCACCAAGAAAAAAAAACCGGCATCCCCTCTCACCCACCAATATAGACGATCCAATAACAGTTTAGCTCTCATGCTAGTGAAACAGAACAAATAAACTGGTGCCATAGAATAAACAACTCTATGTATATTGTTCTTGTATACAGTGACAGTGAGTGTACCATAGTGACAAAAACAACTTCGTATGATCAGCTTGATACAGTTAAACAAGAATGTATTACACTAATTCTTTGGGAAGAATGTCAAATGGCGGCTTGGTCTTAAACCACACTGTTAAGACTAATGGCCCCAGGATACGAGAAATAAGTTATGAAAAAAAATGTTTATAGAAAGGCTTAATAACACTGGTAAAATAGAAACGTATTACTTCATAAAAGTCTTGTTCACAGGTAAACATAATTAATGTAATTTTGGTGAACACTAAGGTACTATTATTCCAATCATCAGAACTTTCTTGCTAACGTCCATTGAACTTAAGGATAAAACCCAATTTAGCTAATTTTCGAGTAATATACATTTACTCACAAATGGTAACATAATAAAAAAATCCCCCCGGTGGTTCAGCGGGAAGTCTGAGGGCTTATAATGTTCAAAATCGGGTTTCAACACTCGCGGTAGGCACAGCACAGATAGCCCGTTGTTTAGCTTTGCGCCTAACAAGAACAATGATAAAACCAAAAAAAAAGAGTGATTTTTCAATGCACCGGTGAGGTAAATATACAACAGTAATCAAGAACATAGTGATTTTTCATCCCGTAAAGTAAATATACAACAGTAATCAAGAACATAGTGATTTTTCATCCCGTAAAGTAAATATACGACAGTAATCAAGTACATAGTGATTTTTCAATGCACCGGTGAGGTAAATATACAACAGTAATCAAGTACATAGTGATTTTTCAATGCACCGGTGAGGTAAATATACAACAGTAATCAAGTACATAGTGATTTTTCAATGCACCGGTGAGGTAAATATACAACAGTAATCAAGTGCATAGTGATCTTTCAATGCACCGGTGCGGTAAATACACAACAGTAATCAAGAACATAGTGATTTTTCAATGCACCGGTGCGGTAAATACACAACAGTAATCAAGAACGTAGTGATTTTTCATCCCGTAAAGTAAATATACGACAGTAATCAAGAACAACGTAAGTACAAGTTGTATACCTAATCATATATGTGTAAAAGTGCAATGGAGATTAACTCTAGACGTTGAAAAAACATTTGGTTAGTGTGTATTTATACGTATCACTCTATTCTATTTAAAGGCGGAGAGAACACTAAAATAACACTGGGTGCTAAGTACGATCATCTGTTTCTGAAGGAAGGCGTCATGAAAGTACATAATTAAAAGCATACAATTACACTCGTTATGACCTACTGTTCCTTGAAAAGAGGGGGGGGGAGTATTTTTTTAACAGCTTACATGGAAAGAAAAAGTAAAGCTTACTAAAGTATTACAGACGAGTGGAGGGCAATCTAAACTAATCCACGGGCCACATGTGCGGCTCTCAAACACTCTCAAGACAGACTTGGTCATAAGCCAAACATGAAACATGTGAAGAAAGATTAGCTATAGGTGTATCATACTTTAGGAGGCAGGTGGGCTTCCAGTTGGTCCCAAGGGGGCTATATGCGTCCCGCGGGTTGCCGACCACTGACCTTTTAAATAACAGTGGGACATAATGTGGGTGAGGATTTAGCAGGTGTTGTTTAGCTACATACAAACACACACAAACTGCGCCGCAAGATGTCGATGTCGCTTTTTCGCGTGATGCTCTGAGGTATAAAATTCGAGTTTCACGCACGGTCGGTCAGCTGATCCACCAGTAACTGTATAAAACATTCCTTATTGAAGTGGTTTCCTACACCAGAGGGTTTAGTAAGCATTCTTTGTCTAACGAAGGCTTTTATTTTAGCAGTATTAACTGAATATTGTATACGTACTCTAAGAGTTCTTTGCGATTGAGAGAAAAACATGCGACATACAGATTTATTAACGCAACGGAATCCTGCTAATAAAGTCTGAGCAGATCATCATGCGTCGTTAATCGAAGATAGCATAATAAGTTTCAATCTTACATCGCCGAGTTTAGTGGTTCCCGGTATTAATTACGTTCTGGAGTTTCCCAAAGTCCATTATTCACACAGATTTACATATTCTGCCTACTTTTTTATTTTACCATCCTGTAACCGAAAAGAAAACTCCCGTTAAAAATGGAGGCAGTTCTTAGACATTATTTTTTTAGTGCAAAGCTACACAGTGGGAATCTGTTTAAGTCCATAAAGTTACCGCTGGTCCACCAGGGGACGGCAGCTCTTAGAAGTGCAACCGATTTATATCGAATCAAAGACGGCCCTGTAATCATTCGTTTTTCAATACGATGATACTTTAATAGCATTGGCTATATTACACAATCCACATACACCTATTACCTTTTTTTTTCATTTGGCACCAAAATACAAGATGGCCATCTGCGCTAGCCGTCCCTAATTCACCAGTGGAAAACTAGAGGGAATGCAGCTAGTCATCACCACCCACCGCCAACTCTTGGGCTACTCTTTTACCAACGAATAGTGGAATTGATCGTCACATTATAACGCCCCACGGCTGAAAGGGCGAGCATGTTTGGTGAGATGGGGGTTCGAACCCGCAGATTGCGAGTTGTGAGCCCTAACCACCTGGCCATGCGATGCCCACCTATTAACGAAATTCACAAGTTATCATATAAAAAACTTAACATCGAATAATAAGAAAACCGAGCATTCTAGACACTTAGAGAAAATTCAGCCAAAATGTTTGCTCTGTTATTTGTCTATTCATAAATGTTATTTTCGGTTGGCCACATTTTTCAACTCTTATCTTAAACAAAAACAACAAGCCAACTTCAATTGAATAATCCTGTCATTGCTAGATGTTATTTTCATATCTGAAGGCTCCTCGTGTATTCTTATGTCCCACTTAATCTTTTCCTTTGTCTAATAAAGATGGAATTTTTGAATATAAAATGTTTCCTTTGCCTCAACCATCAAATATCATACAAAATAATTTGTTTCTTTCGTTTAAATTCGCGTAAAGCTACTCAAGGGCTAACCACTCTAGCCCAATTGAATTTTGATGTGACAGACCAACCGCCAACAAATAGTGAGATTGATCATAACATCATAACGCGCCCACGACTAAAAGGGCGAGCATGTTCAGAGACGGGTTTTGATCCGGCGCCAATCAGATTTTGAGTCGAGCGCTGTAATCCCCAGGCTAAATGCGTATATATATATTAATTATAATAACTGAAAATGTTTTTGTAATCTCAGAGAGTCAAGGTTATTGCATTGCTCTTATCACGTTACTTGATATATATAATTTTGCTTCAAAACAGAAGAATCGAATGTCAAACATTACGTATATTTTGCCTTAAGTAATGTACCGTGTTTTTCTAGTGTTTATACTTCCAGTAAACAACAACCTAGGTTTGAAAATAACTAAGGCTCCTCCTCAATCATTAACTACCTGTAGGAGGGGCAAAGTGTACAACGTCCGTGAAAGTAAGCTTGTTCTAAAGGTATAAATTATCACACAAACAACTTTACTGGATTGGACTGCCTCATGACGTAAACAACTAAAATCCACGCGCCCGCTAGAATCAACAAGGTGAAACAACATCGACACAAGTTATCTGTTTAGTTCCTAATAACATTATCAAGTGTGTCTGGAATTTCTTCACAATAAAAACACACATCTAAGTTCTAAACAACAGCTGTGTATTCGCCGAGAAATCTACAAATTTGTGATGCTAAAAAATGTTAAGCTTGATTCACTAGAAAACATTATGCACGTACACGCTTACTTTGGTAGTTTTTGTTCTGAACATTACAAGCAGTAAGAATATGTAGCATTGCATGACCCCTCAAGTCTTTGATATAGTTTTCTTTGGATATTATGTTAACTCAAGCATAATTTTTCAATCTTCAGAAAACCTATCATATCTTGCGTTTGTATGTAATGTTGTAAGAATATACGTACATATGATCAGGAAATTACTCAAGAAATTTCTATTCATCTCCAACTGAACGTAGCCACCTAGCGTCACAAATATGTAAATCCATTGGCCTAAAACGTGCAACGACCAGCTTACGTTAGCCTCTGTTGGCGTCACTGTTCACAGATGTATGAAAAACGTACAATATGCATAATAAACGGAACTGCCATTGCTA